CACAGGCGCCCGCCACAACGCCCGGCTATTTTTTGGTTGCAGCCGTCATTGTTGTTTGGCGGGTCCGGGCTGGGGATTCGAACCCATCACCTTAGGTGTACGTGGCTGGCGCCTTAGCCGGTTGAGCTATAGGCGCCGAGCTTAACCATTATATTATGAAACTATTTTTTTTCTCCTTTAGATGACTATATTTTGAGAACCAGCACAAATTCTTACCTCTAAAAGATAAGGTTCCATTTGATCCAGGGTTTTCCCAAGATGTTTATCTGGATCTAAACCTGCCAAGAAAGGTTGAATTGTTTTTTAAATAACTATCAGATAGGAACATTAAAGACACATTTCCCTTCCCTTGGCCTCTCCTTGATTAGGAAACCAGTGTATGTATATTTTAAATTTCTTGATCTTAAAGTAAAATGTACTTTGCTAGTATTTACTTTCTTACTTTCCTTAGGTAACGGGTTTTCTTGCAGCTGAACAGTTTCTATTTATTTTAATTGCAGTGTCACCTACCACATACATTGTTTCAACTTCTTTCTCTCTCTCTCTTTTTTTTTTTTCTGAGACAGAGCCTTATTTTATCACCTTCAGTGGAGCACCATTTTGTCATAGCTCACGGCAAACTCAAACTCCTGGACTCAACTGATCTCACTTGTCTCAGCCTCCTAAGTAGCTGAAACTATATAGGTGCCCTCCACAATACCCAGCTATTTTTTAGAGAAGGGTTTTGCACTTGCTCAGGCTGGTCTCAAACCTGTAAGCTCAGGCAATCCACCTGTCTCGGCCTCCCAGAGTGGCCTTTCTCCTTTTTGAGGAATTTTAAGTAGCCCAGAAAAAAACAGCATCATTTCAAAGACAGAAATTTAAATTCATACTTTAATTGTTATGGTTTATTCTACTCATGAACAGCAGCATACATTTTCTCATTTATTCCTATTTTAACTTAAACTTTAAGCTTCTTACTTAGAGAATAAGAGTAGAAAATAAAAGAGCAGTAGACTCATACATTATGCCTATGTAATTCACTTACTTAATAGCATATGGGCACAGATAATTGTATTAGCAAATCAAATGACATTTCATTTCAAAGACCACTTGTGCAACAATGTTTTCCAAGAAAATGCAGAGATGACACTGAAATGTCATCATCATCATGTCAATAGCATGGGCATAAACTCTAATAAAGATACTCAACTGACTTATCAGTAGCATTTATGGAGGCGATGGGGTGCAGGTGACAAGTGGAGGCAATAAGAACTCTTCACATGGGCTGGGCACAGTGGCTCACACCTGTAATCTCAGCACTTTGGGAGGCCAAGGTAGGGGACTGCCTGAGCTCATGAGTTTGAGAACAACCTGAGCTAGACTGAGACCCTGCCTCTAAACACAGCTGGGTGCTATGGTTGGTGCCTGTAGTCCCAGCTACTTGAAAGGCTGAAGCAAGAGAATCACTTGAGCCCAAGAATTTGAGGTTGCTGTGAGCTATGATGCTACAGTACTCTACAAGGGTGAAAGTGAGACTCTGTCTCACAAAAAACAAAAATAAAAACAAAAACACTTCATACACACTACGACTAATGTGCCAGGAACAAAAAAGAGGTCACATGCCACAAGTTGGCTTTGAATAAAAGAATTCATTTTAGGTATTTACAACCAAATATGCATGTATTGTCCTAACTTCATTTATACAAGTTACTTTGGCTGGACACACTAACTAACAACCACAATCCAAGCACTTTGGGAGGTAAAGGAGGGAAGATTGCTTGAAGCCAGGAGTTAGAGACCAGTCTGGTCATAGTAGACGACATTGTCTCTAAAGAAAAAAACATTAGCCAGGTGTGGTGGTCATTAACTGCTCAGGGGACTGAGGGGGAAGGATCACTTGAACCCAGAAGTTAATGGCTACAGTGAGCTATACTCATGACACTGCAGTCTAGCCTGGGAAATAGAGCAAGATCCTATCTCAAAAAAAAAGCTATTTTATTTATACACATGTAACATACACACACATATATAAAATAGCTTTTTAAAAAGAAAGTTATTAGTTTTTTTAAGTTTTTTTTAAAAGGTATTATGTAGAAGTATATTAATATACACTTCCACCAACAGGAAATTATAGTTTCAATGTCACATATTGTGAAATAATTCAGTGTTGTCAGATGTTTTAATTTTTGTCAATCTGATATATATATATATATATATATATACACACATACACACATATACTTGCTTTGTATACTTGTTTTAATTTACACTTTTCTGATTACTAATAAAAGGAAGCATTTTTTCATATTTCATTGCCCATTCATTCAAGTTTTCACTTATGTGAATTGCTTATTAAAATCATTTGCCCAATTTTAATACTGATTTTGTGTGTTAGAGTACAGAATCTTGCTTTCAACAGATAGAAAACACACTTTCATTTAAGAACAAACGTGCATTTATAAAACTTGATCAAACTCTACACCAAAAAGGAACTTAAGACTTTATTTTTTTTACAGAAATTTTAGGTTCACAGCAAATTAAGAGAGAAATATAGAGATTTCCCAGATACCTGCCATACGTCTAAAGGTATGTGTACAGACATAGCTTCCCCTGTTATCCACATCCTCCACCAGAGTGGTACCCTTGTTCAAATTATTATTTTGGTTTTAATAATTTCTTCTTCTAAGTCTGTCACTTTTGTTTTATGCATTTTAGAATTGTTATGTGCACACAAATTCAAAAATTCTATAATTTCCTAATAGGTTTATTTCTTTTTTAAGAAGTACTGACATTTTCATCTCCATAATTGATTTTTTATCCTGTAGTCTTTTTGTCTTCTATTAACATTGCAATACTAGCTTTCCTTCGTTAATATTTTTCTGATATGTATTTTCCATCATTTATTTTTAATTATTTTGTGTATTTTGTTTTGATGCCTGTTGCAAATTGCATATAACTGGGATTTTTTGTTTGTTTGTTTCATCCAGTCTTATATATACAACTCTAAAGAAATGAGCTTAATCATTTTACATTATATATCTGGGCCTATCTCTATCATCTTAGAGTAAATTTTCTGTTACCGTAAGCTTTATGTGCTTTTCTTTTTTCTGCCTCATACAGGATTGAAAATGATTTTAATCTGTTTCACTCTGCTGATTAGAATGATGTTGACTGAATTTTACTCTTTGAGTAATCAGCTGTAATAACTATGTTTCATTTCAAATCTCTAACTGGTTGTTTGTCACATCACACTGTTATTGTTTTATTCTGGGCGATTAATTTTTCTAACTGATTGCTTTTTAAAACAAATAATGTTATATTTTTCTTTATCTCTTTGAGGTTATCCCTCCTGCGGGCAATTCTAGTCCTTGTTTCCCTACAGGACATGATCTCCCCAGCTGCTTCTGTCTGCTTCCTGACCCCTAAATTACAGCCCATCTTTTCATTCTTGTCACTGTTTGTATTTCTATTCATTTCTAGCTCATTGAGATGTTTACAATGTTTTCAAGAACAACTATTTTTCATATCTTTCCTTATATTCATCTATTACTACCATGAATTTGAGATGGAAAGTAGGAAAACTCAAAGCATCAATGTACAATACCAGAGTGGCTGGAAATCGTTTTTTCTTTTTTTTTTTTTTTTAGAGACAGTCTCACTTTGTCGCCCTTGGTAGAGTGCCATGCCATCACAGCTCACAGCAACCTCCAGCTCTTGGGCTTAGGTGATTCTCGTGCCTATCCTCCTGAGTAGCTGAGACTACAAGCACCCACCAAAATGCCTGGCTATTTTTTGTTGTAGTTTGGCCAGGGCTGGGTTCAAACCTGCCACCATCGGTATATGGGGCCAGTGCCCTACTCACTGAGCCATAGGCGCTGCCCTGGAAATCAGTTTTTATTCTTTCCCAGTCCTTGATTCTTCTACATGTATTGGTCATACAACAAATATACACATTGCACTCAGCATGTGACCTCATTAAAATCATTTAAAAAGTCTCTCATGATCGAATTATTTTTTTTAACTACTGCTTTTTTTTTTTTTAATTAAATCATAGTTGTGTACATTAATGCATTTAAAGGGTACAATGTACTGGTTTTATATATATTTTGAAATACATCAAACTGGTTAACATAGCCTTCACTACACTTTCTTAATTATTTTGTTAAGACATTTATACTCTACACTTAGTAGATTTGACATGTACCTTGTAAAATGCACCATAAGTGTGGTCTGACCAATTACCCTCCTTCCACCCATCCTCCCCCTCCCTTTCTCCCCCTCCTCTTTCCCTTTCATCTTGGGCTGTAGTTGGGATATAGCTTTCACAAGGAAGTGTGGGTGCTTATATATTGGTTTCATAGTAGAGCTGAGTACAATGGATACTTCTTCCATTCTTTTTCTTTTATTAAGTCATATACACATAGATCATGAATACATTTATGCATATGTGGGGTACTATGTGTTGATTTACAATCTGATGTGGTTACATCAAACCAATCAACATAGCTTTCGCCTCATTTACTTGCTTATTGTGTTTAAGAATTTATTTTTTTTTGCATTCTCTGTTCCTGGGATAAGCACTGAAAATTCTAGGAAGCTAAAATCACTGAAATAAAAACCAATTTAAAACATTAAGGAAGATTTTCAAAAATTTTCTGAAACACCATAAATCATTTCACTACAGAAGGAGATTATTATCAAAGTAGAAAATAGCTAAAATAAAAGAGCTACATTTCTTTTCTCTCTGAGTTAATAATGAAATAAGCTGCCTGTATATATCTCTATAGGTTTGGGAATAGGGTCTGTGCCAAGTTTAGCAAGGGTAGTATATGCTGCTGTGATTCAGTGGTCTGATGCTTTATAGAGTAGACACTTTGCACAGGGAAGATCAATAGTAATGTTTCACATACATGAACAATAATTTCAAGAGACATAAGGGGACTAGCAGAACCTATTAAATAAATAATATTGAAACATATATATTTAACAGAGATTATGTCAGGTGACTTGTTCATTAGGTAGGCTTTCTTTGTCATAAACAATGATTTAAGACTTCTTATCTCATGACATACTATTCAATAGACTATACTTTTCTAAAAAATGTCCAAATTTTAATAATGAAACTGCTTATTTCTGAATGGATCTTTCTACTTTATATCAATGCTGCATATAATATAAACTTATGTCAGACTAACATTTGCTACTGTACTTGGTTGTGACTATGTAGGTCTTTTTCTCCTAATGTCTTGTGGGCACCTCATCTGAGTGTAGGCTGCCTTTGCTTCAGTTTTTCTGT